AAGTGCTGGGATTACAAGCTTGAGCCACTGCGCCCGGCCACGTTACTTTTCTTCTTCATTTAAGAGCATAACTTAGCAATAGTCCCACTTGGTCAGGTCTATGTTCCCCCCAGTCTCTTACTGTACGATTCTAAAACTCATGAATTACATATACATCTTCAAAAGATCAGAGATTGCCATTTTAACCATCTCATCATTATTTCTACACAAGTTTAAAATAGTTCTATTTTCACTTTATGCCACTTCTTACAACTGAATTTCAGTAAATATACTATATAAGTCCAGGATTTCTAATCCCATTTATTTTAACTCATTTCAATAGACATTATGGAATGCAAGTGCTGACCACAACGCCAGCTGCATGCACACAGAGATAAGGAAGAACCATCTGGTTGCCTTTCTCTCAATTCACACTAACTTCACTAGATCTTCGTGACAGTCTGGGAATACAACTATACATAGTGGTCCAGGCTTTAAAAAAGGACAAGAAAACAATTTATTTCTTTATTCATTATTATTTTAGTTTTAGGTTTTTTTGAGGTGGGGTCTCACTCTCTTGCCCAGGCTGGAGTGCAATGGTATGAACATGGCTCATGGCAACCTCTACCTCCTGGGTTCAGGTGATCCTCCCACCTCAGCCTTCCAATCAGCCAGAACTACAGGCCTGCGCCACCATGCCTGGGTAATTTATTTTTTTATAGAGAAAATGTTGCCCAGGCTGGTCTCAAACTCCTGCACTCAACTGATCCTCTTGCCTCAGCCTCCCTGTGAACTACTGCACCCGGCCGTCAATTGATTTCTTAATACCTTTCAACTGATACCCAGTATTTTATAAGTGTTTTTGGATATAGTGAGCATCTTTTCTTGAAACAGAGAATAGGGAATCACAAATATTACAAAGCTCTATTTTCACAAAGTCTCAGGAGTGAGTGACCATTTTGCCTGCCTTCTGAATATCCAAGTTTTCAAATATCTACAGACTCAGACAAAATACTCTTCATTTCCCACCCAAGAGTTGGGAACTTAGAACTGGTCACTGGGGCTGGGCATGGTGGCTCACGTCTATAATCCCAGCACTTTGGGAGGCTGAGGCCGGTGGATCACGAGGTCAAGAGATCGAGACCATCCTGGTCAACAAGGTGAAACCCTGTCTCTACTAAAAATACAAAAATTATCTTGTCATGGTGGCGCGCGTCTGTAGTCCCAGCTACTCGGGAGGCTGAGGCAGGAGAATTGGTTGAACCCAGGAGGCAGAGGTTGCGGTGAGCCAAGACCGTGCCATTGCACTCCAGTCTGGGTAACAAGAGCGAAACTCTGTCTCAAAAAAAAAAAAAAAAAAAGAACTGGTCACTGGGTGAGACTGACTCCTCCCTTAAGGAGGATGTTGACTGAAAACACATTTATTTCTGCTAAATCAATGCTACTTTTTCAGTACTTTTTGGAACTTTGAAGTCATGCTTACATTTCCAAACCCATACCCAGGCCAGAAATGGTGGCTCATACCTGTAATCCCAGCATTTTGGGAGGATTACTTGAGCCTAGGAGTTTGAAACCAAGCTAGGCAACATTATGAGAAAAAAAAAAAAAAATTTCTTAAAAAAAAAAAAATACAAAAAATTAGCCAGGCATGGTGGTGTCTGAGTGCAGTCATAACTACTCAGAAGGCTGAGATGGGAGGATTGCTTGAGCCCAAGACGTTAAGGCTGCAGTGACTGTGCTACTGCACTCCAGCCTGGGTAACAGAGCAAGACTGTCTCAAAAATAATAAATAAACCTACACTCAGCTTCTGAAAGAAAACAACAAAAAATTATTCAGATTTCACTGCTGAAGGAGAAACATAATTATCTAAATAAGAGCAGTAAGTTCTATTTCCCTTTCCTTCAACAGATTTGTAAATTTAGCTGTAAATGAAGGATTTGAACACATACAAATTCACACTAAACTCTAGTTTCAGTTCTTCCTATCTTGTTGACTGTGTGACCTTAGGCAAGTCACATAACTTTGTGCTTTTGTATCTTTACCTACAAAACATGGACAACAGTTGCAACCTCAAAGGGTTATGAAAGCACACAAAACTGTGCCTGACAGACTGTGTGCATTATTTAGTGTTAGCTGCTATTGTTACCATTCTCACATGTCAGTATCCCAACATGTTGCTTATCTTAAACTGAAAAATAATAAGAAATATGACTTGTTATTTCTACAAATTCTCTCTTGGTTATCAGAATGTCATGTAAGTGGCTTTGTCGCAAGTCTTGTGTATAGTAGTTCGTTGCTACATACCTGGTATAAAGATGACTAAGCTGCTCTTGAAAGTTACAACCTAGAGATATCCTTCAGTTACAAGGCAGCGTGGTAATACTATAAGCGTGAAGCATAAGAGCTGTGGGAGTGCAAAGAAGGAAATTATCTAACTGCCTGAGAGAATCAAACAGAAAGCTTTGTGGAGGACAGGTATAGAATATAGAATACATGACTTCTGTAGATAAAACTTTCCAGGCCAGGCGCGGTGGCTCAAGCCTGTAATCCCAGCACTTTGGGAGGCCGAGGCGGGTGGATCACGAGGTCAAGAGATCGAGACCATCCTGGTCAACATGGTGAAACCCCGTCTCTACTAAAAATACAAAACATTAGCTGGGCATGGTGGCGCGTGCCTGTAATCCAGCTACTCAGGAGGTTGAAGCAGGAGAACTGCCTGAACCCAGGAGGCGGAGGCTGTGGTGAGCCGAGATCACGCCATTGCACTCTAGCCTGGGTAACAAAAGTGAAACTCTGTCTCAAAAAAAAACTTTCCAATACTGGAATATAAAAAAAAAAATTTGGTCAGTGGCTCACGCCTGTAATCCCAGCACTTTGGGAGGCCGAGGCGGGTGGATCACGAGGTCAACAGATCGAGACCATCCTGGTCAACCTGGTGAAACCCCGTCTCTACGAAAACTACAAAAAATGAGCTGGGCATGGTGGCGCGTGCCTGTAATCCCAGCTGCTCAGGAGGCTGAGGCAGGAGAATTGCCTGAACCCAGGAGGCGGAGATTGCCATGAGCCGAGATCGCGCCATTGCACTCCAGCCTGGGTAACAAGAGCGAAACTCTTTCCCAAAAAAAAAAAAAAAAAAAAAATTTGGTTACGAAAACTTATTTAGAATAGATTCAGTAAGTGGGTAGTGGTATGTCCCCAGTGCTCCTTAAAACCCAGGATCACCACTTTGGGAGACTCAGTTGGGCCAATCACTCGAGGTCAGGAGTTCGAGACCAGCCTTGTCAACATGGTGAAACCCCATCTCTACCAAAAAATACAAAAATTAGCTGGGTATGGTGGTGCACACCTATAGTCCCAGGTACTTGGGAGGCTGAGGCAGGAGAATCTCTTGAATCTTTGAGGCAGTGGTTGCAGTAAGCCAAGATTGCACCACTGCACTCCAGCCTGGGTGATAGAGTGAGATTCTGTCAAAAAAAAAAAAAAGAAAGAAAGAAAGAAGGAAGTTAGGAAGGAAGGAGAGAGAGAGAGAGAGAAAGAAAGAAAGAAAAAGAAAGAGAAAGAAAGAAACAGGAAAGAAAGAAAGAGAAAGAAAAAAGAAAAGAAAAGAAAAAAGAAAAGAAAGAAAGAAGAAACCCAAGTGAATTCATTCAAGTGCAGTTGAGCATTGCTGGTGAGGGGCTGGAGACCAGCCTGAGCTGTTCTTGAACTCATGGCCTCATGTAGTCCTCTCTCCTCAGCCTCACCCACATGCATGGATTGTAGTTGTAAGCCACCATGCCTAGCAGGACAGTCAAGAAAATTGAAACTGGAAAGCACCTTGGTCTTTTTTTTACCCCAAATCTGCCCAATTTTATACAGTGGCAGTGCTGTTTCCTCTAGCCCTATAATAGAATTCTGCAGGAGAATTATTTCAGGGAGTTTGCCTTTTGTTTTATTAGAGAGCTAAGTAACATTGGGAGGTTGGGGTGGCTTTGGAAGCTTCTGGAAATAAAGGGGGGTTTAACAGACATTAACTCCATCTCACCTCACAGATAAATGCCATTTTACTTTGAAAAGCAGCAAGTGGCAGCGGGGGGTCGAAAAATAAGAAATTCCATCAGTTTTGTGAAAGATTTTAGAGAATAATGAACTCTGTTCCATGAAAGAATTAGAAATGTGAGCAACGCAGGGAGAAGGGTAAATCCAGACACGCAGAATGGATTCCAGATGAGAAACCGTATCTTCCATAGTGAATTTTGAAAGGATTTATAATCTCCTGTTACATAATTTGCAGTTTACTTTGTTTTCTTGTTGAAGAAAGTGGTTTTGTGGAGGCAAAGTGTGCAGAGAGCATGTAGGATTCCAGAGTTAATGGACCTGGAGGGAAAAGAGTGTAAACTGACCCAGGTTCTGCTGACACTGCTCCAAAGCCACACACTCGAGGGCAGGTTTGGTGGGAGGAAAAGCTGCTATTAATCCGAAAGCCAGCAAACTGAGAAGATGGCAAACTAGCGTTCTAAAGTACCACCTTACATTTCAAAATGTACCATAGGATTTTAAACTTGACCTTTGGTATGGGAGGCACGCGGGAGTGGTGCAGGGTGCCGGGTCTGTGTTTCTTGTTCCTGTGGCTGTCTTGGATGGCTGCCCGTCCAGGGGCCTGGTTGGCTGAATCTTGACTTTGGCCAGATGGTGTGAATAACTGCTGGAGACTCCGGCTAAGTGGGCTTATTCCACAATGTGGGCTTGAGGAAGGAGCCCCAGGCATCTGGGATTCCCTCCCCCCTCTGTCATCCACCGTGCATCTCAATAGAAGAGAGAGCAGGCCAGCTAGGCCTCCTGAATCTCTTTCCTGTAGGTGGCAGGCTTGGTCTTGGGGAAACTCTCCGGAAGACACTGTTTTTACTTAAAACAAGGTCAAACCCGAAACCTTTTCACATGTGAGTCCTAAAACTGTAAACTGGAACCCTTTCATATGTGATTCCTGAAACTGTAAACAGAGACCTTTTCACATGAGATTCCTAAAGCTGTAAACTGAAACCCTTTTCATATGTGATTTCTGAACCTATAAACCTAAGATTCTTCCATGTGTAACATCTCAAGTATAAGTCTATATAAAGTCAGAACCTTCTTTTGTTAGACGAGCTGAATTTGGACAGATCATTTCCTTAGCTCTGGGCTGCAATAAACTATTTCCTTCTGTATTTGGTGTTCGGGAGATCCATTTCCCGGGGCCTTTCCTGCTACAGCCTAAAGTGCCTGCTTTGTTTCAAGATTAGCTTCTGGGGTTTCTTAAACGGAAACATAATTAGATAAGCATGCATTGTTCAAGGGTGGTGTCTAGAAAGGGAAAGAATGGAGAGGTGAGAGGGGAGAAAAGGAAGAAAAAAGAAGTGGGTGATTTTTAAAACTGAGGAATCTGGTTGCAAGAGGAGAGAGAATAAAGAGAATGAGGAAGCAAAGTGAGAAACGAATGGGAAGCTCTCACAGAAAACATTACAAGGGTCATTAATTTTGAGGCTACCATAAATGATTAACTCAAATAACCATAAATGATTAAATGCAATAAAAATTATATTCATTTCCCCTCTTTTCTCTCCTTTTCTTTCTTGTCATCATTACCTTGAAGTTAATGAAATTAAGAATACCTAGGCCGGGTGCGGTGGCTCAAGCCTGTAATCCCAGCACTTTGGGAGGCTGAGGTGGGTGGATCACGAGGTCAAATGATCGAGACCATCCTGGCCAACATGGTGAAATCCCGTCTCTACTAAAAATACAAAAAAATTAGCTGGGCGTGGTGGCGCGCGCCTGTAGTCCCAGCTACTGGGGAGGCTGAGGCGGGAGAACTGGACCCAGGAGGCGGAGGTTGCAGTGAGCAGAGGTCGTGCCACTGCACTCCAGCCTGGCAACTGGTGGCAGAGTGAGGCTGTCTAAAAAAAAAAAAAAAAAAAAAAAAATACCTGAAAAACTTACATAAAAGCACTTGTATATAACAATGTAAATGTCACAGTTTGTCAATAAATGATCATTACTATTTCAAACCAAAAAACAACACTGATTGGCTAAATAATTAGTTCATATTGGACGGTACTTGCTGAGATGCAGTGAGATTGATGTCTACAGTCTCCACTTTTTGACAGACTTGTCAAAAGATATAATGACAATGTTGTATTTGACCGGAGCGTAGAAAGTTATCACAAGACAAAAGTATGCCAGATTGCAGGGTCATTTATCATGCCGGCGACCACAGAGGACTCACATCTCTCCAACCTGTGGCGGCAAAAGGAGGGTGCCATGATTTTTTATACCCGAAAAACCACCTTGGGAGTGGGGGTGAGGGGCGGGGATGGGGATGAAAAGGCTTCAGACATTCCGAGGGCTAGTGGATTCTGTAAATTACCTCCTGGGCAGAGATGAGGGTGGGGGTCTCCGGACATTCCAAGGGCCAGGGGACTTTTGTCATTCCGTTTGTTACTTAAGTGGTTTACAGAAGTCAAGATAAACATTTGTTTACACATTATCTGGTTAAGGTGGAAATCACAGACCTTAGTTACTTATTACAAGTCACCCGAGCCAGGATGGAACTAGCTTGGGCTGCTTAGTCTGGCAATTGCCGGTAACCAAAGGCTAGCAATTCTGGCAGTTACTTTTAAGAAAAGGTAAGCAGCTTTACATAGTGGCTAGTTTGCAAAGCAAACTAGCAGTTTTATTTACAGAGGCCAAGGACAGTAGTTATTGTGAGGAGAATGGGGCAGCCATTTCAACTTATCTAAAAACAGTTTTACATTTTATAAAATAGTTTTGCTCCAGTTCTGGCTCTAGGTCAGCACAATATCACAACAACAAATTCCGTTAGAAATCGAACTGGCTTTTATTTGAGATTCATGAATGGGGCATGAATCCATTATACAGAAGACAATGAAGGTTGCCACTGGGCAGTAGAAGAACAGGAGGTTTTGTAAGGTGGGAATGGAAGCAGAACAATAGTGAGGGAGAGCTGATTCCCTCACCAATTTCTGGTGAGATTTATATGCTAAGCCCCGGTACACCACACCAAACCAATAGAATCACTCATGGTAAATGCCACATCATCAAACTTTGAGGAAGCAGATAGATCCCCTAACAGACCAAGGTTCCCTAAAAACAAGATATGCCTGTCAACCTGAGTGAGGTTAACAAGAAAGTCCCCTCTGCTTTAACCGTGACAAGAAAAGGAACTTGAAGTGACTTGATGTTAACCAGTCAGCATTCCCCACCCCCACCCACCGTCCTTCTATCTCCTTGTTCCCACCTGACAAAATCCCTTGTTCTGCTTATTGCGCAGTGGGAGCTTTCATTCCGTTTTGTAGAATGGAGGCTGACTTAATTCATGAATCACAAGTAAAGGCCAGTTAGATCTGTACCTCAATTTGTTTTAATTTTGTGTGTTGACAGGCACTACACCAAACATAGCATGGGCAAGTAGAAATGTATAGCCAGGGGTCAGTGTGGGAGTCGGTGGATGGAAAATCACTAAGAGGAAACACCAGGAGGAAGGGGAATTCTGGCTAAACCAGCCTAACACATTTCTTGCTGAAGACCCACCAGGGTGATCAGACATCACCTGGGCAATAGTGGAGGCTGAGGAACCTCATCAGAGATGAGGATGATCAGATCTCAGGGATATGGGTTCTTGCTAAACTGACTTAGCAGGGTTCTTTGCTAAATGGATTTTACGAGGCAGTGCACAGCTGGGTCTAGGAGAAGGTTCAGAAGCCTGCCTAAAGTTTGGCCAAGCAAATAATTAACAGACGGGACTTTGTTAATCTGACTCAGGTTGACTGGAATCTCCTCTTTTCAGGAAAAAACTGGTCTGTTTGGGGAATCTGTTTCCCTAAAGTGTCAGTTTGATTTTATGGCATTTGGCCTGAGTGACTATTTTGGTTTGGTTTGATGTGTTGGGGCCTAGTGCAAGAGATCAATCTGAAACAATAGCTTCTCATATCTTTCCTTTAACAAATTCAACTCTAAAACCGAATTCTGGCTAGGCGTGCTGACTCATGCCTGTAATCCCGGCACTTTGGGAGGCTGAGGGGGGCGGATCACCTCAGGTCGGGAGTTCGAGACCAGCTGGACCAACATGGAGAAACCCTGTCTCTACTAATACAGAATTAGCTAGGCATGGCGGTACATGCCTGTAATCCCAGCTACTCAGGAGGGTGAGGCAGGAGAATTGCTTGAACCCGGGAGGTAGAGGATGTGGTGAGCCGAGATTGAACCCGGGAGGTAGAGGATGTGGTGAGCCGAGATTGAACCATTTCACTACAGCCAGAACAACAAAAGCAAAAGTCCATCTCAAAAAAAAAAAAAAAAAAAAAATTCTATGAAATTGTATTGGTGAATAGTGGGAGGATAGGTTCAGTTTTGAAGGTAATAATCGAATCAATCTCTCATGTGAATTCTGTCGGAAAAAGTATAAACAAGTTTCAAATGGGGGAAAAAAGGTTCCCGGGTACTTTGTCAAGGGCATTTTTCATTGATTTTGTATTATCTTCCAACTCTTCAAATTACAGAAAATTGAGAATAGTCCAAATAATTTTCATCCGTAGAAATACAAATGAACCATGTTCAGTGGAATGCAATTTATCATTGCTCTGAATAGTGACAGGTTTTTAAAAAATCTGTTGGGTTGGGCGTGGTGGCTCACATAATCGCAGCATTTTGGGAGGTCGAGGCGAATGAATCATTTGGGGCCAGGAGTTCGAGACCAGCCTGACCAACATGGGGAAACCCTGTCTCTACTAAAAATAAAAATAAATAAATAAATAATCTGGGCATGGTGGCACACCCCTGTAATCACAGCTACTCAGGAGGCTGAGGCAGGATAATTGCTTGAAACTGGGAGGCGGAGGTTGCAGAGAGCTGGGATCGTGCCCTGAATTCCAACCTGGGCAAAAGAGCATGACCCTGTCTCAAAAATAATAATAAAAATAGACTCTTTAATAAGAAAAATTTACAATCTATTTTCTCTGAAGGCTGCTACCTGGAGGTTTTATTGGTGTCATAAAAGCTTGGTCTTCACAACCCTTTATCACACTACTTTCTGTTGATAATAACTCTTTCAACCAATTGCCAATCATAAAGTCTTGTAATCAACCAATGCTTGGAAGCACCCCCACTTTCAGCTGTTTTGCATTTCCAGACCAACCCAATGTACATCTTACATGTATTGACTGATGTCTCATGTCTCCTCGAAATGTATAAGCCAAGTTGTAGCCAAAACACCATGGCACATATTCTCAGGATCTCCTGAGGGCTGTGCCACAGCCATTGCTTATTCACATTTGGCTCAGAATAAGTCTCTTCAAATATTTAACAGAGTTTGACTCTTTTCATTGACAACATTAACACCACCTAAAAGAGAAATGTGAGCCAAAGAAGGCAAAAACTCTTATTAACACTTACTTAATCATTCCTCTTCCTACGGGGAAAAGCAAAGGATAGGTGGGAAACATGCTGAAGTATCTTCTTGATTATTCCAAGAGGCATCTGTAAAATGGGAAGGATAAACTTCCTCTTAAAGAGTAGTTCTGTAAAATTCTGCAACTTTTTTTTTTTTTTTATAATAGAGATGGGGTTTCACCATCTTGGCCAGACTGGTCTTGAACTCCTGACCTCATGATCAACCCGCCTCGGCCTCCCAAAGTGCTCGGATTACAGGCATGAGCCACCATGCTCAGCCTCTGTAACTATTTTTTAACAAAACTTGACCTTTTTTTTTTCTTTTTTTTTTTTGAGACAGGTTTTCGCTCTGTCATCTAGGCTGGAATACAATGATGTGATCACGGCTCACTGCAGCCTACACCTCCGGGCTCAAGTGATTCTCCCACCTCAGCTTCCCCTACAGACATGCACCACCACTCTAGCTAATTTTTTTTATTTTACTTTCTTTCTTCTTCTTTTTTTTTTTTTTTGTAGAGATGACCAAAGTGGTGGGATTACAGGCATAAACCACTATTCCCAGCCTAAAATTAACCTTTTAAAATCTAATATAACTGTCTCAGAAAAGTCATTTATGGCGGCATCCTTGCTTTTTCTCCTCAATAAATTAACAGGAGAAGCAGCTGCTATCTCTTCCTCCTCCTCCTCCTCCTCATACTATCTTTCTTTTTCTAACTCACCTGGGTTTCCAAAAGGAACTGTAATTTTTTATAGGGTCATCAAAGGTACACCTTGCTGCTCATTTGAACAAATCCTCATTAGGGCAGTAGCTGTACATGAACATGCTATATTATGCCCTGTACTTTTATGTATTTAATAATAGAAATGTCATGACAATTAGTTTCATTTCTCTGACACAAGCTTTTAAATTTCATTTCATACCTCACCCTCCCACAGTTAATTTAAGTATGGCAGGAATCTGGGACAGTTTGGAAGTACTGTACTTAAAACTATTTGGTTCGGGGGCCAGGCGCGGTGGCTCACCCCTGTAATCCCAGCACTTTGCAAAGCTGAGGCGGTGGATCACTTCAGGTCAGGAACTCGAGACCAGCCTGGGCAACATACGCCAGATTCCTGCCAATAAACTTTTGATGGTGATTACGTTTGGGACAGGAAGGTACAGCTTTCCTATTTCATTCAGTGGTTAAATGGTACTCAATTTTGACTGAAGAGACAACACGGTAATGATGAAATGTCAAAACGAGTGTGAATGTGCATAATTTACGAAAGGCATTTTTGAGAACTAGGTACATGAGTTTTGAAAACAGGAGAGCAGAGAACCTGTGTAAGACTTCTAAGCAGACTGCACTGTCGGGAGCCACAGGGTTGTGAGGCTGGGAGGAAAGTGCTTCCGGAAGCATCCGAGGGGAGGGCGCGGATCCGGCACACAGCGTGTCAGCCTGGTCGAGAACAGCCCCTTCTCTCCCTTCCCTCAGCCAGGCCGGAAGCTACCTGGGTCCCGAATCTCGCTACTTCCGGATTATCTCGCCTTGCAGCACAGAGACCAACCGCTACGCATCTCTGCCTTTTATTGACTGTGTTTTGCCGCAAATCTCGCGGCTGTGTAAAAATATCGCGATACTTCCGCTTTTAATGTTTTCAGTGTGGACAATCACTTTGAGAAAAATTTTAAAGCCAATTCCTAAAAATATACGTTGGTGGTTGTTGATGCCTACTGCTGCGATCAAGATATCTTAAAGCGGGACGAAAAGAAAAAGCAAATGTGTCAGAAGTGGGATTCGAACCCACGCCTCCATCGGAGACCAGAATCCCCAGCACAGGGAAGTCAAGCTTGAGTCTGGCGCCTTAGACCACTCGGCCATCCTGACACACTGTAAAGCTGCCGCGATTTTTTCGCTAATATAGAAATCAACGAGCACTGCGTCTGTGACGCGCATGCAGAAACGCGATGACGTCAGGTTGCTTGGTAACGGAAGAAAAGCCGCCTGTGGATTGAAACCGGAAGAGACTATGCAGCCGCGGAAAATGTTTATGCGTAAAACTGGGTCAAGTCTCTTACGGGCCTTACAACTGTCATCCCCATCTCGAAAGACGCGTGCAAATGTGTTTTTCTGCGCCCAGCCTAACAGGTTTCGGGAAGGAAAGGCCCTCTTGAGCCTGGTCGCTAGGTCGGCTCTCCAGCGCCTGCTGTTGACTCAAATCTTGACGGCACTCAGCGTCCCCCAGGACTTAATTCTTGGGAAGACCGTGAGCAAAACCCTAACGACAGACCCCGCTCTTTGCAGGGTCCCTTTTATCGCCTGGATTCTGGCCACGTGTCACCGCCTTGCATTGGTCTGTGTGTCTTGGGTCTGAAAATGGCGGCCGGGAAGGTCCGCGCAGGGGCCGCCGGGGCAAGGCCGGTGTCGGCGCCGAGGATCTGCGTCCCAGGTTCGGGAAGCTCCGGGAGCAACACGCTCTCCCGCGGCCTTCCTGCTCGCTCTCGGAAGTTCCCGATTCACGGGCTCCTACGTGTCTACTGCCCGGCACATTTTAATAGGTAAAAAATAATAAGGCCTTTTTTTTTTTTTTTTTGGTAGAGACGGGGTTTCACCGTTTTGACCAGGATGGCCTCGATCTCTTGACCTGGTGATCCACCCGCCTCGGCCTCCCAAAGTGCTGGGATTATAGGCGTGAGCCACTGCGCCCGGCCAAGGCCTTTTTTTTTTTTTGAGATGGAGTCTCGCGCTGCAGCTCAGGCTGGAGTGTAGTGGCGCGATCTCGGCTCACTGCAACCTTCGCCTCCCGGGTCCTGGTTCAAGCAATTCTCCTACCTCAGCCTTCCAAGTAGCTGGGATTACGGGCACGAGCCATCATGCCCAGCTAATTTTTGTATTTTTTACTAGGGACGGGGTTTTACCATGTTGGCCAGTCTGGTCTTGAACTCCTGACTTTGTGATCCACCCGCCTCGACCTCCCAAAGTGCTGGGATTACAGGCGTGAACCACCACGCCCGGCCCAATAAGGCCTTTTTTATAAATTAAAATTATCCACTATCTCACTAGTCAGAGGTAGCTATTAACATTTTTAGATAGTCTTTGATATGGCATACATTTTTTCCAAAAAAGGGTCATGTGTGATACATCATTTACTAACTTGTTTTTTAAACGAATATATTATGAACATACATATTTGCTAAGTACTATAGGTATTTTGTAAAAATCTTAATAACTGCTCCTGGCACATTTTAATAGGTGAAAAATGAGGACTTTTTTTAAAAAAAAATTAAAATTATCCACTATCTCACTAGTCAGTTCCCGATTCAAGGGCGCCATCGTGTCCACTGCCAGGTCGGGGACACGGCGGCAGTTTTTAAGCGCCTGACCCACTATTCCACCTGTTCCTCAGCCTTCGCCCACCAATCCGAGCTCCAAGCCAGGAAGCCCCGAGGTCGCAAACTTTAGTGGAGGCCTGAAACTAAACAGAAATGACTCCTTCAGGTAGAACAGAGTCTCAGAGGCCGGGGACACTGCTAAAATGACGTGTGCAGACCAACACAGCCCAGGTGGCAGTGCCTGGCAAACACGGTACAGGTGCAATACATGTATTTTAACTCAACCGACATAACTCTTGTATTTGGGGCTGTGATATTCAGATAGAGGAAATGGAAAGTTGGATGTTGTAATTAGATTTTGTCCCAATAAGTTACTTTCTGTATTTAACATAAAACATTTTCCTTTTCCTTTTATTAAGGCAAAGCTTAGGTCTCTTTTCTGCATGGAAAATAGCCTGAGTTTCAGTAGGCTCTATGTTAATTTCCACAGACTTCCTTGGTTTCATATCTTATTTTTGATAAAGACAAAGTTAGTTGTAAGAAGTACAGTGAAGACCGGTTTCCCAGTCTCCCTCCAACACATGAAATTTCTGTGTTTTCTTTTGATTGGAAGGAAGTTGTCCAGGAAGTGATTCCCAACATGGCAACTGTAATCCCCTAACTATTTATATCACTTTTTTTCTAATTGCAAAGTACACACAAATTGTAGAACATACAAACATGCCAAGATTAAAATTATCCACTATCTCAGTAGTCAGAGGTAACTATTAACATTTTTATATACTCTTTCATACGGCATACTTTTTTTTTTTTTTTTTTTTGAGACGGCGTTTCGCTCTTGTTACCCAGGCTGGAGTGCAATGGCGCGATCTCGGCTCACCACAACCTCTGCCTCCTGGGTTCAGGCAATTCTCCTGCCTCAGCCTCCTGAGTAGCTGGGATTACAGGCACGCGCCACCATGCCCAGCTAATTTTTTGTAGTTTTAGTAGAGACGGGGTTTCACCGTGTTGACCAGGATGGTCTCGATCTCTTGACCTCGTGATCCACCCGCCTCGGCCTCCCAAAGTGTTGGGATTACAGGCGTGAGCCACCGCGCCTGGCCTGGCACACATTTTTTCCAAAAAAATGGTCATGTGTAGTACATAATTTGCTAACTTGCTTTTTAAACGAATATATGATGAACATATATATTTGCTAAGTACTATAGATACTTTGTATAAATCTTAACTGCAGATATTCCATATCAAACTGGTGTTCTTGAATATTGGATTTTTCTAATTTCTTATTTTCACGAGCAATGCTGTAAAAACTATCCTTGCATAAGTATTTCCAAACACCCATAATTATTTCCTTAACTTTCTAGAAGTGAAAACACTGTATCAGTGTTTATCCAGTTTTCGCTGTCGTTGTTTTCAGATGGAGTTTCTCTCCTGTTGCCCAGGCTGGCCCAGCTAATTTTGTGTTTTTAGTAAAGACTGGGTTTCTCCATGTTGGCCAGGCTGGTCTTGAATTCCCGACCTCAGGTCATCTGGCCCCCCTTGGCCTCCCAAAGTGCTGGGATTGCAGTTGTGAGCCACCGCGCCCAGTCTGTTTATCCAGTTTTAAAAACTTTTAATATATATTGTCCAACTGCCTGCCAAAAAACAAAAACAAAAAAACAGTGAAGCAATTAACATACCCCAAACCTAACACCGGACATTAGTGATTATATGTTTGTTTTGAGATGGAGTCTTGCTCTATTGGCTAGGCTGGAGTGCAGTAGCATAATCTTGACTTGCTACAACCTCCGTCTTCTGGGTTCAAGTGATTCTCCCGTCTCAGCCTCCCGAGTAGCTAGGATTACAGGTGTGCACCACCACGCCTGGCTAATTTTTGTATTTTTAGTAGAGATGGGGGTTTCACCATGTTGGCCAGGCTGGTTTCGAACTCCTGACCTCAGGTGATCCGCCTCGGCCTCCCAAAGTGCTGGGATTACAGCCATGAGCGACCAAGCCCAGACATAATTTTATGTTTGAAATGGTTTCAAGTCCTCTTGAAATAAGGTAAAATATAATTAAATATGTAAATATTTTTAACTATTACACAATAAGACTCCCCATAGGCCATTTTTTTTTTTTTTTGAGACAGAGTCTCGCTCTGTTGCCAGGCTAGAGTGCAGTGGTGGGATCTTGGCTCACTGCAACCTCTGCCTCACGTGTTCATGCGATTCTCCTGCCTCAGCTTCTGGAGTAGCTGAGATTATAGCCACTAGACACCACGCCCCAGCTAATTTTATATAAATTTTGTAGAGATGGGATTTCACCATGTTGGTCAGGCTGATCTCGAACTCCTGACCTCAGGTAATCTGCCCTCCTCTGCCTCCCAAAGTGCTGGATTATAGGTGTGAGCTACGAAGCTCAGACACGATTTTATGTTTTAAATGGTTTTAAGTCCTTTTTGGAATAAGGTAAAATATAATTAAACTACTAATAATATTTATTACACAATAAAACTCCCCACAGTCCTTTTTTGTTTTTTTTTTGACAGTCTCTCTCTGTTGCCAGGCTGGAATGCAGTGGTGGGATCTCGGCTCACTGCAACCTCCACCTGATGCGTTCACAGGATTCTCCTGCCTCAGCTTGCTGAGTAGCTGGGATTACAGGCGCAGGACACTATGCCCGACTAATTTTGTATTTTTAGTAGAGAGGGGTTTCACCACGTTGGCCTGGATTGTCTCCATCTCTTGACCTTGTGATCCGCCCGCCTTGGCCTTCCAAAGTGCTGGGATTTGCTACATTTTAATGAAAACATCAGCAAGAGGAATTTTAAAAGGCCTGACAAATTATTTAAAGAGGGAAGCAGGGGACTAAAAAGCAAAGAAACTGCAGTTTGGGAGGCCGAGACGGGTGGATCATGAGGTCAAGAGATCGAGACCATCCTGGTCAACATGGTGAAACCACATCTCTATTAAAAAAAATTAGCTGGGCATGGTGGCGCGTGCCTGTAATCCCAGCCACTCAGGAGGTTGAGGCAGGAGAATTGCCTGAACCCAGGAGACGGAAGTTGCGGTGAGCCGAGATCGCGCCATTGCACTCCAGCCTGGGCAACAAGAGTGAAACTCCGTCTCAAAAAAAAAAAAAAGGAAAGAAACTGACAATGGTGGTCTATGACAATGAAAACAAACAAACAAAAAAAAACAGGATTCTCTTTCCAACCTTGAAATGAGTCCCTTGACTGTTTTGTGTGACGCTTATATAACTAGATTGCCTGTTATGTCCAGGATTACTTGAGATTAACAGGGACTGGGTTGGAAATTGAAATGAGGCTATATTTAAATGAGATTGACTGTAAATTGGTAGTTGTTGAAGCTGGGAGATGATACAGGAGGGTTTGCTGTATATTTTCTTCCTTTTGGTGTATGCTTAAAGATTTCCATAGTGAAGAGTTCATTCAACACAGAAAAAAAGAAAATCACCAAGTCTCATTGAAAGCATCTATGCTAATATTTTGGCATATTTCTTCCCAGCTTTTAAGGAAATATGTAAGTTGAAATCTTTCTAATCTAAATTAGTATTTCTCACTTTTTTCTCTTACGTTCTTTTTGTGCCTCAGAACCCTGACTTGGGTTTGGCAATCACGTCCTATACAAATCCAAGTCGTTTACATCCTCTGAACAAAGAATCTGGCAGAGATGTGTGTATCTGAAAAGGATACCTTCAAATGTCCTGCTTACATTTCAAACGTCAAAATGCAAAATTAATTCAGCAGATAAGCCAGTCCTAAAAACAGATCTTTCCCTGTTTTTCTCCAACAGGGAAAGAGGAAATGTAATGGGCAATACTGCCAAATGCAAGTCCTGTTTGGCCTGGCATGGTGGCCTACGCCTGAAATCCCAACACTTTGGGAGGCTGAGGAGAGAGAATCCCTTGAGCCCAGGAATCTTAGGCTGCAGTGAGTGATGATCTCACCACTGCACTGCAGCCTTTGTGACAAAGTGAGACCCTTTGGTAATGCTGATTTGGATGGGGTTTATTATTCCCACAGACTTCATATAGGAGGAACTTCTGCAACATAGTGCGATTTAGTAAGTTACTTACATAATTAAGTCAAAATTTATTGCAGGACGGAGCTAGTGGGCAACTCTCTTAGTGTCAAGAAAAAGGGCACTAAGAAACAGACCCAGCATTCTGGCTTCCTCTTAAGATTACTGTGGTCTGCAATGAGGGTCCCTGGACCCCAAGTTTCACTTCTCCCCAAATCATCTTTAGTTGTACTCTACTTTTTTTCATGTTATTCTCCCCCTCTCCTAATTGACTAACTTTTCAAAGGACAGAAGCCATGTTCTCGTGTATTCTCTTCAGCAGCAAGTTCAGCTGGGCACCCAACACTGGTTAATTGTCTATCTGAATAAAAGAAAGTCTTTCATTGGTGAAAAAGAAGCAATTCACTCACCACTGGTATACTAAGAACCTTTTGAGTTTTGGTTTTTATTTTGCTGGGAGGAGACAGGCGATTTCCATCTATACTCTTTGGTCTGGATCTCCGATAACTAAAGGCATTAGCACATGGCTCTCATTTACCATCTGATAGCTATTTGCTCTTAATTCATAGTGCCTTAAGTGTGAGGCACTTACATGCATTCTCTCATCTTCTCACTTAATTATACATGGTGGAGGGTAGAGGCCATGCTCAGTTTCCCTTTGTTATTTGAACCTATCTCCTCTAGGCCTTGTCTGCTCTTGGGGAAGATGGTCTTTGCATGTTGGCCCGTATCGGAAAAAACAAGAGCACCTAAAGACACACTGGCATGTGCACATGCATGCACGTACACACACACACTTCCTGGAACAGCAAAAGAATTAAGGAGGAGTTATTGAAATCCTAATGTATAATTAACAATTGCAAGGGCCGGGCGCGGTGGCTCACGCCTGTAATCCCAGCACTTTGGGAGGCCGAGGTGGGTAGATCACGAGGTCAAGAGATTGAGACCATCCTGGTCAACATGGTGAAACCCCATCTCTACTAAAAATACACAAAACCAGCTGGGCATAGTGGCGCATACCTGTAATCCCAGCTACTCGGGAGGCTGAGGCAGGAGAATTGCCTGAACCCAGGAGGTGGAAGTTGCGGTGAGCCGAGATTGTGCCATTGCACTCCAGCCTGGGTAACAAGAGCGAAACCCTGTCTCAAAAAAAAAAAAAAAAAAAAATTGCAGATGTTCTGAGGAAAGAGAGGAACTAGAAGAATCGGCGTAGGCCCCATATCTGCCTTTAGTGATTCAGTTCATTGACTTATGAACTCAAAAGTGGCTTACCTTTCTGCAGATGAGTAAACTTAAAATCACCAGTTCATTTAACCCCATTCAAAATGGCAGGCTTTTAAAACTAAATACCTATTAACACACCACCCACATGAACTAGAAGACAACCAGTAACACCTGTCAACCTGTGCCCTCTCCGCTATCCCATCTCCCCTCTCACTTCATAGGTAACCGTGCTATTCTTCATATTATAAATGGCATTCTAAGGTATATAGTCTTCTGAGACTTTTTTCACTAGGCACTGTTAGTGAAATTCTTCATCCTCATAGATATGAGAATTGCAAGAAACTTTCTTGAATCCAACAAGATTGTATATCACTGGTCCAGCTGATGCTGTCAGTAAAAGTGCAGTAAGATGCTGCTCCTAAAGCACTAGGTCTCCTGGGAATAAACAGACCCAGTGTGGGATTCTCTAAGTAGCTTGGAGACAGCTCTATCAGTGGGCAGCAAGAACCAAAGGTCCATCCCAAGAGCATGTTTCCTTTGACTGATGCGAAGTGTCCTCTTTGTGAGCCTTACTCTTGCTCCCTGCCCCAACTGACTAAATTAAGTGGAAGGTGATTTTGAATAGGACTCTTCACCCCATTTTCCAGCTGCAGATCCTCGAGTTTAGAGTAGACACTGTTATAAGGTAGACTTCTGGGTCAATGGACTGGTACTTCAAGGCTTCCAGTCTCTGCTCTGCCACTTCTATGCAGAAAGCATCATGTATATAGTGTGGTCATGTGTTCTATCTCAGTTTGAATCCTGGCTCTGCTGCTTCCTAGCTGTGTATCTTGGATAAGTCATTTACCCTCTCTGCTGCATTTTCTTCATCTATAAAGTAAAAATAGTACACACTTGATGAAGTTATCATGAGCATTAAATAAGTTGCTGTGCATAAAGCTCTTCATATGGTGTGCCAAGCACTGCTTTGTTTTGTTTTGTTTTTTTGAGACGGAGTTTTGCTCGTTACCCAGGCTGGAGTGCAATGGCGCGATCTTGGCTCACCACAACCTCTGCCTCCTGGGTTCAAGCAATTCTCCTGCCTCAGCCTCCCGAGTAGCTGGGACTACAGGCGCGCGCCACCATGCCCAGCTAATTTTTATATTTTTAGTAGAGACGGGGTTTCACCTTGTTGACCAGGACAGTCTCGATCTCTTGACCTTCTGATCCACCCGCCTCGGCCTCCCAAAATGTTGGGATTATAGGCATGAGCTACCATGCCCGGCCTGTTTGTTAACAGTATTTATGTACCTGTATATATATTACCATATACATGTCGATCTCAGAGTATTCAGCAAAAGCCAACCTAGCCTCATGGAAGCTGCTTTCTATAGCCCTGGTTCCATTATTTCCCTTAAAACCTGATGAATAAATGAAGAATTAGGATACACTATCATCAATTCATGAACCTCAGCCATGGAAATCCAATGCCTGGCACAGTATTTACAAAAAGGACTTGAGAAAATACTTTCCTAGTAGAACTACAGGATTAACCACTGTAAGAACTGTGGCCTATGGATGTCCAACACTACTTTCTTAGCACCACTAGAACGTGGTGACATGGTATCTAGAAAGTAGTTTTATTTTCCAGTTTGAAGTAAACTGTTGGCCAGAATGGAATTTTTGGACCCATCTGGGAAAGCGACAGCATTAACCATTTCCTCCCCACACCCATTCCAACATCTGAACCCCATCCTACCAACACCCGGAAAGCAACAACATAAACATCCATATTCACTTTATTTTTAAACAAAGGAGCATGTACTCAAAGAGAAGCAGGACTGAGAACCATCACCGGGGCTTGCTGGAAGTGATCCACCCCAGCCTTCTGACTTCAGAGTGTCTCAAGCTCCAATGGCCATGGGGATGGAGCTGCCCCTTGATACACACTTTAGAAAGGTCAATTTCCCCATCCCCCAAAAGAAACGGAGAAAAAGAGGTAAGAGGTCAATGAATCCCTGGAAGACTGTCCCAGCATCCTTTCAGGGATGGTGTGTGACCGACCACCAGTCCACAAATGTGACTGGTAAGGGATCTACTAACAGCAAATGGAGCTGGATAGAGTACTAGCCTGGATGACATGCACCCAGCACTGGAATACACCTTTCCTTAGAACGAAGGGAGCAAAGCCCTCAGAAAAGATACAAAAGCAGAGACATTGATTAGAACATTATCTCATAACAGAGGTGGGACCATTACCCACCGTTATTGTAAAAGAACTGTAACTAACCAAAACACATATAGGCTTCTTTAATGGAGTTAGTAAAACTATGGCAGGTCGGGAATTGGGGCAAAAGCACTGTTCCCAGGTGGAAACACCGGGAGAAAGGGAGCCGTGTGGATAGGGCCTTGTTCCAGTCTAGGCTGTCAAAGAGGAGCCCTAGCCCAGAATGACAGCAAATAGCCATGATCATTATGTGGGGCTGAACCAAGAAGGTGTGAGTATCTTGAATGGCTCTCCAAATCCAAAGATTATCCATACTCTTTATCCCCTCCATCAAGTGTAAAACCAGAAAGTGTGACACACTGGAGGCAGACATCTGGATACGTCTCATGGCGTCTCACAATGTGCATGGAGGGAAGAGGGTGGTAGAGAACATGGACATCCTGTCTCCCACTGCAAGGGTGTGGAACATGGTAAGGAGACCCATCTGTGACGGGATGTGGCAAGGCAACAAGATGCCTTGTGCCTGGCGTAGGATTTCAGCCAACAGCCCTTTTGGCCTGAATTTACCTCAAGGGGAGGTCTCCATGGAATGACCGTGATTCCCAACATGGCCAGAAAACCCATCTATCCCACTCATGGGGCAGATGATCAGAGGAGCTGCGCTTTTCCCTCCCGAGTAACTCAGGCTGAAGTAGGGCCGCACAGGCCCACAAAAGGTAGCATGAGAGAAAGTGAAGGTGTGACACCTCTCTGTCACGTTGTAGAAGGAGACCTCACCAGCATCATAGTCCAAGAAAATCCCCACCCGCTGGAGAGGGGTCCGCAGGGGGAGGGCAGTCATTGGGGAGGTAAGAGCCCAGTATTCTTTCCCATACCACAAGGACACTGCCCAGAATCCGTTCTGGGGGGCTGAGGTTACTCCGCCTTTTCTGCACACTGAGTCTTCACAGACACCTATGGTCCACTTGGCTTTATCTCCCACCTCTACCTCCCAATAATGTCTCCCAGCGATGAAGCATGGAGAGCCCAAGACACAGGGAAACAGATTGAACCGCTCGGGGTTGTCAGGCAGGTCCTGCTGGAGGTAGCTGTACCGGACTTGACGCAGATTGTCAGAGAGGATCAGGCTGGGGTAGGCCGTGTCTGGGTCCAGAGTCACGTCCACTGTGGAGACACAAAGGAGTCAGCTGCGGGCCAGCAGAGCCTACTCTAGAACACCCAGCCTTCTTCCACCTCCCCAAGAACAAGAGCTTCCCACGAGAGGTTGCGCTCATTTTATTTAAAGTATATTCTAAACTTCACATTTCAAAAACAACTGCTTGGATTAGCTGGTTACCAGGATACACTCAAAGTACTGAATTTTAGCCCCGCAGCTTTCTTTCACATCTGAAGCCACAACATCCATTATGAACTGAGTTTAAGAGAGAGGGTCTTGCTCTGATGCCCAGGCTGGAGTGCAGTGGTGTGGTCATAGTTCCTTGTAACCCCAAATTCCTGGGCTCAGAGGATCCTCCCGCCTAAGACTCCCAAGTACCTGCGACCACAGGCGTGCACTACCACACTGGCTAATTTTTAAAAACTTTTTGTAGAGATGGGGGGGTCTCACTCTGTTGTCCAGGATGGTCTTGAACTCTTGGCCCCAAACAATCCTCCTACCTCAACTTCCCAAAGCAATGAGATTACAAACATGAGCCACTGTGCCTGGGAGATACACCGAACTGAGGTTTTCTTACATGCTTACCATCCCTTATTCTGAAAACTTCAGGGGCCCATAGTTTCACAGAATTCACAATATTACAGGTTTTAGACAGGCAGGGTCTGGCACAGTATTCTATAATGAAATATTAGTAGATCTGCTGTGAGATCTATGAATATTTACATCATGAAGGAGAAAGACTCTAAATAGAGCCACATAATTTCAGGTTTTGATACTCTAATTTCCTACAAAATAATGAAAACACTTTCGGCTTTCAGAGATTTGGGATTTTAGAACTATGGACAAGGTACTGGGAACCTGTATCAGGTATGTTCACCTTTCAAATCACTCTTTTTTTATATTTCTTTTTATTTTTTGAGATGAAGTCTCACTCTGTCACCCAGACTGTAGTGCAGTGGCATAATCATGGCTCACTATAGACTTGATCTCCTGGACTCAAGCAATCCTCTCATTTCGGCCACCCAAAGTGTTAGGGGTACAGGTGTGAGCCACTATATCCGGCCCAAATCACTCTTTTATCCATTCTAGATTTTTACTCTGCACATCCAAGCCCTATTCATCTTCTAACATCCAGTCCAAGACACACATCCTCCAAGTTTTTCTCCATCTCCCTAGACCATTACAACTTCCTGTTCTGAAATCTAAACTGTGTATGACCCATGTCATCTCCTCTGGCATTCAGTATCACAGCATCTTGCTATCATAAAGTTTTTTCTCGCTTCAGAAGCACTGATACGGGCTGG